AGCCAAGATAATAGTACGGGCAGAAATTAAAAAGGTCACGAATACCAAATCCGATCGGACCAAAATGTAGCCAACAGTAATAGGAGTCAACGGCTGAAAGACTGTGGCAGACAGTGTTGGGGTGGACCATACGCACTGGCAGAAGCTCCTAGCATCGTGACGGAGACGAGGCATGTGAAGCTTACACACGTCGACGACGAGGCAGGAACTTTTGGCAACGACGCGACGAGAGATGCTAGAGAGAATAGTGGAGGTGGTGAGAGTCTGTGACGGCCGGAGACGAGCAACGAGAACCAAGTCGACGATTGACCCCAAACCTAGTCTGATACAATGTAAGGATGTGGAGAAATTCTATATTGTATTAATCACAAATGTATGTACACATACATAAAAACATAATTAGAAGGGTCTCCCTAAGGCTGGGTCTTAACCTAACCTATAAAACACAATACAAAAACTACATAACTAACATTATTGTTAGAATTAGCTCTATAGCTCGTTTATATCATGGTTTCCTTTAGTTCGGGCAGGTTAGTCTGAGGCCAACTAAAACTAATATGAAATTATTAGAACTAGTCCATTTAATATCTCTAAATTTTGATACGGCAAATAATAGGGTAAAGCATATTTTTCAACATGTACTATATATACATATTTTTTAGTTTTGCAACCTACATTATTTTTCTCATTAAATGTGAAGTGAACAAGATTTCACTCTTGCTCCTTCAACTCGGACTGCCACCGTACCTGCAAGAACCCAACGTCGGGAGGGGTCTCGGCGTTGAGCCTCCGACACTCAAGTCAAAATCACTCCATGACTCAAAATCCTAAGAGTATAATTATTAATGTAGAGAGAGAGAGAGAGAGAATAGGATACCTTAGACCCCTTTTATAGGGGGAGTGTACCTTATGGCCCAAGTTGGGCTTGTCCAATAGCATCATGCCACGTGTCCTAGCCATGTGTAGGCTTATTCTTCAATATATTCTCTTTTTATCCATTAAACCCGGTCTAGTATAATATCTTATATCATCTAGTCCCCCCACTCTGGTCGAGTAAGCACGACTCGATCCAAGAGTGAAATTTTTCTTCGGGCTGTTTCCGTCAACCTGCCACTGAGGTTATAATTTGAATAAATCATCGACCACCAAATAGTCACCAAACCTCCAAATGAGCATTGGGACCCCAAATGAACACCGAATGACCACTAAGGTCAGAAACCGAAAGACCCGTCACTGGGGTCGAATACCGAAAGACCTGCCTCTGAGGTCGAATACCGAAAGACCCGCCACTGGGGTCGAGCACCGAGAGACCCGCCACTAAGGTCGTGGGGTCGAATACCTAGAGACCCGCCACTGGGGTCGAATACCGAAAGCTGAATAGCTAGTGAGGTCGAAACCGAATGATCCGCCACCAGGGTCGAACACCAAAAGCCGAATGACCACTTAGGTCAAAAACCGAGAGACCCGCCACTGGGGTCGAACACCAAAAGCTGAATGACCATTGAGGTCGAAAACCAAATGACCCGCCACTGGGGTCGAACACCAAAAATCGAGAGACAATTGAGGTTGAAAACCAAAAATCGATAGGCCACCGAGGTAGAAAACCAAAAACCGAGATATCATTGAGGTCGAAAACTGAGAACCGAGACACCACTGAGGTCGAAAACCGAAAATCGAGATACCACTGAGGTCGAAAACTGAAAACCAAGAAACCCTAAGGTCGAATACCGAAAGACCTGCCTCTAAGGTCGAATACCGAGAGACCCACCACTGGGGTTGAATACCGAGAGACCCGCCACTGGGGTCGAATACCGAAAGCTGAACAGCTAGTGAGGTCGAAAATCGAATGACCCGCCACTGGGGTCGAACACCAAAAGCCGAACGACCACTTAGGTCGAAAATCGAGAGACCTGCCACTAGGGCCGAACACCGAAGCTGAACGACCACTGAGGTCGAAAACCGTGTGGTCGAAAACCGAATGACCCACCACTAGGGTTGAATACTGGAAAACCTGCCTCTGAAGTCGAATACCGAGAGACCCACCACTGGGGTCGAATATCGAGAGACCCGCCACTGGGGTCGAATACAGAAAGTTGAATAGCTAATGAGGTCGAAACCGAATGACCCGCCATTGGGGTCGAACACCAAAAGCTGAACGACCACTTAGGTCGAAAATCGAGAGACCCACCACTGGGGTCGAACACCGAAAGCTGAACGACTACTGAGGTCGAAAACCAAAAATCGAGATACCACTGAGGTCGAAAAATGAGAACCAAGAAACCACTGATAAGGTTGAAAACCAAGTGACCACCGATGAGGTCAAAAACTAAGAACTGAATGACCACTGATGAGGTCAAAAATCGAGAACCGAGTGACCGTCGATGAGGTCGAAAATCGAGAACCGAGTGACCGTCGATGAGGTCGAAAACCGAAAATTGAAGTCTTGAATTTAAAAGTTTAACTTACGTCTTGTTGTTTTTCGATCACCATGTTGAAGCTCCCTTCATTCAAAGATAGACCTTTCCTACCACCTCGTCCTATCATCGCCCCCTCAGTTCAAAATTTGAAATTCAACCCTATTGTTTATCCTCTCGAAAACCGAATGTCCTAACACCACACTGAAGTCGAAAGCCAAATTTCGACCAAACCAAATAAAATCATCAACTTGAATAACTTGACTCCGTGAACTGCTCTGAGTGAACTCCCTCGACCTACCTCGAAGGTCGAAAAATAAATTCGACAAAACCACAATCAAGTAAAAATCATCAACCTGCCACTGAGGTCTTCGAATAATCTCCACGAATTGTGCCAAATAAACTCCCTCGACCTGCCTCGGAGGTCGAAAAATAAATTCGACATAACCAAAATCAAATAAAGATCATCAACCTACCACCGAGGTCTGCAAATAAACTTCCTGAGTTGCTTGAAATGAACCTCCTCGACCTGCCACTGAGGTCGAAAAATAAATTCGACATAACCAAAATCAAATAAACATCATCGACCTACCCCCGAGGTCTGCAAATAAACTGCCCGAGTTGCTCGAAATGAACTTTCTCGACCTGCCACTGAGGTCGAAAAACAAATTCGACATAACCAAAATCTAATAAAGATCATCGACCTACCACCGAGGTCTGTAAATAAACTTCCTGAGTTGCTCGAAATGAACTTTCTCGACCTGCCACTGAGGTCGAAAAACAAATTCGATATAACCAAAATCAAATAAAGATCACATGCCCACCCTCAAAGGAGTGATCGATACATGTGACTGTTGGGTTCGCTAGTACTGTACGGGCTTTAAGCAGCGGAATTTAAAATTTTTCAAAGTAAGTATTTATCATATAAATACAACACCCGTACATACTAATTGCGAATTAACTGATCGTCATCTTTAAAACATGCATCATATACAAATTTTTATTTGTTATATAAAAGTAAAAACCAGTACAAAGTATTTACCGAATGTCTTGAACTCCTTCAACTACGATGTGGATTGTGGGAATCGGTTCCCGGTTTGATAACTTCAACAGATTGAGGTTACTCACTTTAGGAATCCAAGTGTCTTCCCTCTAAACGTATCCACCCTATGAAGCCCGGTTCCGACGACCTTCCTTCGCTAGTAGGAATGTCTCGGTTTTCTTGTATAGGAATATGTATGAATTTTATTTTGGGAAATTTCAAGAACTCTTTCTTGATGTTTATGAAGAACTATTCTTCTTTCTAACACTTAGAATTTTTAGGAATGAATTCATCTTAAATGCAAAACCATTTTGCATCTATTTATACTAAACATTTTAGCATAAAATAATAAACATTTAGTAATATTTAAATAAAATCAGATTTTATTTAAATAATATTTACTAACTATTGACTTTGAAAATAATAAATAATGTTAAGTGGTTCAAACCACCTTTAACCACCATTTTATTATAATCATATTTATTATTTTAATCCTTAAATCATATTTAAAGAAATAGAATAATAAATCTTGAGAATCTTTTCAAGACTTTATTATTATATTCATTTTTCCAATTTATAATAATCATATTATTATTATTTTGGTTTGGAAATTTAAAATCCAATTTTAAATTCCAACATATTAATTTAGTAATTACCTTAACTACTAAAGTAATATCCAAAATGTAATTAAATCATCTTATTGATTAATATATTCCTTTTAATAGACATCTAATCAAATTAGATTATGTCAATTAAATCTAACTCTTTAGAAATACAATTTTCACCTTTGTTCATAATAGGTGTGACCTTTTAGGTTCACCTTAATACTAGTAGTGGGTTTACAACTCTTTGTAATTTGAGTTAATCACATTAACTCTTATTCATGAATTAACCCTTTAATTCAAGAACCCACATATCATGGGAACACCTAGCAAGTAGCATGAATCTAGTATTAAGTGAATAGCGAGTAAACCTATTCCAATTACAACTCCATACATGTAAAATCCTTTCAACATCTAATTTCCCGATTAAGTCTTGGGTATGATTTTGTCGAAACCCTAAATTGACTTAATAACTATGATTCTATTTCAAGTTTATTAACCCTGTTATGAATCACTATTCATCTCTGCCTTGGCCAAGGACTTTGGATTAATAACTATGAAACACATAGGAAATTCACTTATCTTCATAAGTGTCGAATCCTTTATTGGCCACTAACAAACTTCCATACATATTAACATAATACCCAAAATATCCCTTTATACGATAATGCTAGCTACCAAAAGGATAAATCAAAGTAGAACGTAATATGCACAAAGTTACCATTGTGCCTCAAGTCTAAGGATTAGTCATGTACTATTGTAACATGAAAATTCTTATTCGACTGAATAAATTCTTCATTAAGAATTTTCATACGGTCACGTTCGGTGAACTTGTTCTCTAACAAGCACCCACATAAATGTACTTACGTCTTACGCTAATGTTGATGGAATGCAACATTCTTGTCCAACAAGCGTACAAACTATGTGCAAGTCTTTTATGGATTATTCGATATCCCATCTCGAAACATCCGTCGACTTGGAACTGTATTTAAGATCACGGCTTTCAAGGTATGTTCCATGATCACCATCTCTATGCGCAACCATACCTTATAACCATAAGTGATCTAGGGATTTTATATTAAGTGCAAATATAGGATAAATGCTTACTCTTAAGATAAAGTAATGCCTTTTAATTAATATAATTCCAATAGATCGTATTTACAAGTAGAATACGTCCAATCCGATTGGAACACCGGGTATCCTACTCTAACAGTGACCACCTAACCTCACAGCCTTAGTCGTGGTGGATTTTACGCCCTTAAACACATGTTCACCATCAGAAAGGTGGTCGATACATGCGACCATCCAGCCTCTCGGCCTTAATCATGATGGATTTGTCTTCGGACACATGTCCACCTTCAGAAAGGTGGTCGATACATGCGACCATCCAGCCTCTCGGCCTTAATCATGATGGAATAGTAATTGATCATTTTCGTTAGTCCCATCAAATGCATAGTTATACCAAACAAGAAAAATAAAAATAAAAATAAAAAAATCAAGCATTTTTTCGAATGTACAGTCGACCAGAATTTCACAAAGCCATGAATTCAACAAGCAATTACAACAAACCATACTCTGCAGCTACAAAGAATCATTACACGAATGCACCAAACAAAAATTCGAATGAATAACTCCCAATACCGAGCTCCTTGGTCATGACGACTCGAGACTGGCCAGCCCGAAGGCCTTAGTCTTTTGTTCAAGCCTCCACGAACACCTCATTTTCTGCATTTTGTTAGTCACCTGAATAGTAATTTTAAACATATCCATATACACCACAACCCCAACAACATTTCTCCCATAATATCCAAAATAATGAACATTTCTCTAAAAAAAAGCATGTTAAGAGACTCAATGTTTCAATAAATTACGTCGGTCAAAATTGACCACTCACAAGAGTTGGGATTAATTTTATACCTGAAGGTCGAGAATACCACTCCCCATTATCCTACCTCTCCAAGAAAGAATGATTTCTGCCTTTGAAATTGCCACCGGCGATCGACACCATCCAGACTCGTCCCTCATTATCACCCTACTTTGATGGATCCATGCTCGCTCATTTTATTCTCGAAACTCCACAACTTGTCCACCATAGTTTGTCGAGACTCGGGTTATTTTGATGTTTCCTCGACAAGAATTCAAAGAGATATCATTATCCACATTATATTCACGTCATCCATTTTGCAATTCTCCACGCAAAAAAAAACAAGAGATCAAATACAAACATCACCATCTCCTCGATTCAAGACATGCTCGAGCAATGATATGCTTAAAAAATTATGAATAGCCAATTCAAACAAAATCCCACACTTTCAAATGAAAATCCAAATGAGAGGTTTCGAGTATATCGATATATCAAATTATATAATTTTAATCCATCTCCTCGAGGTCACCCATAAAAGTTGATAAATGAACCAAACATACATCAAACACAATCACAAGATATTCGCAATCCGAAACCACGACCCGTATTTATTATAAATCAAATAATTTCTCCACAAATAAATCAAATACCTCCACGAATAAATTATATAATATCCCCTCGAACAAATCAAATATCTCCACAAATAAACCAAATAATATCTCCTCGAACAAATCAAATATCTTCACGAATAAATCACATAATATCTCCACGAATAAGCCAAATAATATTTCCTCGAGCAAATCATATAATTCTTCAATTTTCACCATTTTAAATTAAATAATTTCTCCAATTTAAATTAGCCATGAACCTTCACCACGAGAAATATTATCTCAAATTACCTTCCCGTCCGCGTCGAATCATCCCGAATTTGTCGTGGGCTCGAACCGGGGCTGTCGGAATAACCTAGACAGGTTTGGGGCACTGCTGGACACTCTGGGCTGGTCTGGAGGTGATTTGGACGCACAATGGGCCGTGAAGGGGCTGCTGGGCTGCGGCTATGTGACACTGGGCCGCAGGTGCACGCTATTGGGCCGGGATGAGGGCAGCAGGAGAGGCGCGGGCCTTAACGGGCTCAAGCGTGGGCCACACGGGCTGGAAACTGGGAGCAGCGCGGGCTAGTGGTCGGGCTACACGCGGGCCAGATGCTGTGCGGTATTCGGGCTGGAGCGCGGGCTAAGGTGGGCCCGAGAGTGTGAGAGATGCTGGCCGCGCAGGCCGGATGTGGGCCTCGCTCTGGAGCGGATGGCAGATGGGCCGGGATGGGCTGCTGCTGGGCCATTTTCTCCTAGGCTGCAGTGGGCTGTTATTTGGACGAAGCTGCTGAGATGCGCTGGGCCTCGAGCATTGTCACCTGGGCTACGGACAGTGGGCTACACACCTGGGCCTCGACACCAGGCCGTTTCCAAGTTGGGCAGTGAGCTGCTACGAGCTGAACATGGAGCAGCGACCACGGCTTCGCCGGAGAAATGCCACCGGATAAAAGTCACCAACTCCGGCGAGGCGATCCCGATGGTGCCGTCGGATTGAAGCGGTTTGCCAGAAATTGACGGAAAAATGGAGGAGATGACCGAATTTGACCAATTTGTTCTTAGATCCACAAAGTTTGACTGGTAAATTGATGGCCTTCCTGGAGGAATTTGTGCTCGAAATTTTATAGGTAGGACAAACACGAGGAGAGCTTCGCAATGGTGTGAGAATTTTTCAGATTGGACGACTTTGGCCGACGAGCGACGGCAGGCGGCGGCGGCGGCGTACGGCAAAGGTTAGGCACTGGAGATTCGCCTCGACGCGAGGATTTTAATGGTACCCTCGGATTTTTCATACCCTTCCCGGATCGTCGAGAAAATGCCTTTGAATGTCCGATTTTGACCAAAGTTTCTTAGATCCGGAAAGTTTGACCGGCCAAATCGAAGGCCTTCCCGGATGAATTTTTGCATGAAATTTTAACGGGAGATTCACCTCGAGGAGATCTACCTGATGACACCGATAATTTTCCGATCGGAGCACATTTTCCCATGGCCGGCGACAGAGGTGGCGGCCGACAGCGGCCGGTGGAGGTGAAGGAGCTTGCTGGAAAATTTCTCGAATTTTTCGGTCGGAACTCCGTTTGGCTTTTCGATCGGGTCCCCACAGACGGCGCCAATGAAGTGAACAAGATTTCACTCGGGCTCCTTCAACTCGGACGGCCACCGTACCTGCAAGAACCCAACACCGGGAGGGGTCCCGGCGTCGGGCCTCCGACGCTCAAGTCAGAATCACTCCAAGACTCCAAATCCCAAGAGTATAATTATGAATGTAGAGAGAGAGAGAGTGAGAGAGAATGGGATACCTTAGCCCCCTTTTATAGGGGGAGTGTACCTTATGGCCCAAGTCGGGCTTGTCCAATAGCATCATGCCACGTGTCCTAGCCATGTGTAGGCTTATTCTTCAATATATTCCTTTTTTATCCATTAAACCCGGTCTAGTACAATATCATATATCAAAATGCAATCTAAACATCATGAGCATTCATAATCTGCACACTCCTCTAGATCTTGACCATATACATGTCCACTTTTATTGACGATCGTATGGTCAACTAGTAGACACGTGCGAATTATGAATGTTCAAAAAATTCATATCGCATTTTATCACGAAAAATAGTGTAGATTGCATAACTCAAAAGCATGTATATAATGTAGTAACTCTTGCGTAGTTGCTTGAAAAAAAAAATATTTTTACACAATAAATCACGCATATTTCTCAATTTTTAGTGTTTTATAATATCAAGTATCAAAATATTTATCTCCTTACTTTATACTAAATTTAGTGCTTCTAAGTAGTCTTTTTTTTTTTTGCCAGAACGATAGGTAATATTTATAACAAACGCACAAATGTGCAAAGATACAACTTGGAGCGCAGCCCAAAGCTGAATAAAATGGGAGGAGGTCTGACGACCGCCTAGAACCCGACACTAGCAAATACTAGAAACCAAAACAAGACACTCTAGACAACTACACAACAACACAAAGAAAACTACAACGAAAAGCTCCCCACAGGAGAATAGAGACAGGAGCTGGTCCCCACAGGACAATCAATTGCTCCGCTCAAACTGAGGCCAACGGCCCATACCTAAAATACAGAACATAAGCACACAGGCAAAGTGCGCAGACCAAAAATACAACCTACCACTTAAAACGACAAACACAAAACAACAAGAGGGAAAAAAAGCCCTTCCACAGCAAATTAACCGGACCAAGTCAGCAGAGAACAGTCGATACCAGCGAATAATCCAAGTGCAGGGACCACTTCCGAAACTGCCGCAAAGCCTATACAAAAGCCGAACCCGAACATGAACTAAGCTCCGAAAAATGACCCGCCACCAACCGAAAGAACAAAAGCGAACAACCCCCACACCAGCTCCAACCAAACCTTTCTAACACCACTAGTTGAGCTCGAGAGGAACTGATCCCCCGCCGCCTAACACCACTAGCCGGACGGAGAAACAGTGAGGGTGGTTCGGCCACTTGTCATCGGCCTCCCCAACATTGAAAACGCCTCGGCATCCAGAGTAGCGCCCACTCGTAGCAACACACCTCCGCCCACCATAACCACAAACCCGCCATCAGAGCCCGAATATCCCGTTGGAAAGCCGAAGCCCACCACTAGGATCCCCAGCAACCCCAATCTCAACCCAACACAGCCAATAGACGGAAACTAACTTTAGAGGCCACCCAAGAAGCCGGAGACGATCGCAATTGAGGATTCCGAGTTGTAGCGGCAAAGTCCCAAGCTCTGACCGCCACAGCCAAATTCGTCGTAACCGCCAGAGCCCCGACCCATCCACAGACACTCGTCCCTCCCGACACCACCACTGACCACAAGATCCGGCAACTAGCCCACAAGATCCCGCCGGAATCGTCAGTGGGAGAGCCGCGTCGATCCAGCAGCCTTCGGCAGCATCGGAGAGAAACTGCATCCGGGAGGGTCGAGCTGTTGAAGACGACCGCAGGCCCGAGTCTGCCGCCGCTGAGGAGGCCGAACGACGGGAGATTTAGAGCAGCGACACCTGGATTTTGACGGGAGAGAAAAGGGGATCGATTAGTTGATAAGCTTTTCTAAGTAGTCCTTTAAAACTTGGAATTTTATACATGCTTATTAGGACACTTAGAATTATAAATCACTTGGTATAATCAAATCTTAAAATGCTTGGATACAAATTACTCAAAAAAATCCAAACATTTTTAACTCAATCATTTTTTTTAACTCAACATTAACTCAACCTCACTATCATCAATATTATCAACATAATTAAATAATATCAACCAATCATTCTTACACATCACATCAAATTTAATTTACTATTCATCAACTCACATAATTTTAACTAATCATCACTTCACATCATCTCTCTCCTACTTTTACATCAAATCAAATTTAGTTATTTTATCATAAATATTATTTTAATATACTCACTAACAACTAACCACACCACATTTTTCAAAATTAACCAAACCAAACTAAAAAATCCAATCAAATCTAAAAAATTTTATATCCAAGCATAATAGTTTTTATTTGTTAATAGTATCGTTCAAGCATATTAACTGACCACAACATGTATCATATTAACTGACCACGTCTAAAACCATCCTATTAACTACTGAACACTTGAAACCATCCTATTAGCTATTGAACACTCCGCGATTACGATTTGAGAATTACATTCATACATACAATTTGGTAGTGAAATCTAGCAGCATATTTTTATGCGAGTAAAGCGTCAAAGAATATGATGGGACTTGAATTATCCGCCAGAGTCTGTAAGTGCAATTTTTTTTTTTTTTTTTTACTTTTCACCAATATATGATATGATGAATAATTTGATTATTATATACAGACACAAGAATGTAACACTAAAGAGGAGGCATCGATATTGCAGCTAGACTTGAATAAGCTACCAACATATGAAGGGTATCAGCGACTCAGGAATCATTACGGTATCTTGACTTGAATAAGTTGTCAATGTATGACGGGTTCATCCCTGCGGCACAAGAACGAGAGAAGGCTCAGCGAGTTCTAGTAGGGCATAATCATCAAATGTTAAAAATATTACTTCCAATTTTATTTGAGGATAAAAAATGATTAGTAGTTTATAATTTTACTTTGATGTTTTATCAATTGAAATTTTTATTATTGAATTGATGAAATAAAATTATTTTATTTTATTTTATTTTTCTTTAATCTTGCTTGCTTATTGTTAGTGGTATTAATGAATTCATTTGATGCAATACAAATTTACTGAAAACTGATCTTGTGATTAATTAATGCAACAATGAAAAACGGAATATGCCATTATATTGTAATTGTCACTAATATTAAGAACTGAATAATCTGTTACAAATTTGTTAACTGGAATTAGACATCGAAACAATGATCTCGTTTTTAATTTGGTTTCTATTACTGAATAATTAGGAACAAATAATCTCGTTTCTAATTTAGTTTCTATTACTGAAAAATTAGGAACAAATAATCTCGTTTCTAATTTGGTTTCTATTACTGAATATTTAGGAACAAATATTCTCGTTTCTAATTTAATCTCTATTAATGAATAATTAGGAACAAATAGTCTTTTTTTTTAATTTGGTTTCTATTACTCATTAATTAGTAACAAATAGTCTCGTTTCTAATTTGGTTGCTATTTCTCAAATACTAGAAACGGCTTGCTTGTTACAAAAACCGTTAGTGATAGTAACGGAACGGAATCCATCGCTGAGCATCAGAACCCTTGTTTTCACTAACTAATAATGTAACGGAATATAACTATTTCTATTGTTTATTAGTAACAAAAATTTGCCCTATTGCAACACAATTTTCCGTTGCCACAGTCTGATTTTCTAATAGTGATACAGAATAATTATATCTACATTTATAGAATATAAATTAAATTATACATCAATTCAAATTAAAAGATAATAAAATTATTATTTATCAGTTAAAAAGTTTACCAGCCAAACTTATTATATGATAAGAGTATTACACTCTATTTTAATGTAGGACGGGGAGTCTTAACGGGTATCATTTTAAAATGATAATAATAATTAGAAACCATTTTTCACCGACCAATAGAATTTTTGGCTTGTCCAAACTTCAGTTACGCCTTAGAGAAATGGTAAGCCAAAAATTCTATTACTCGTATCATATAATAAGTTTGTAAATGTTATCATTTTAAACCTGTAAGCTTGTCCCAATTATTTTCATTTTAAATAGGACAGCCCCGTAAAATACCCACAGTTAACGGTAAACGCCTCCAAAATATAACGACTTTCGGCTTGTATATAGCGGTACTTCAAATATACAAGCCTTCGACGAATAATACTATTGTTTGAAACTCTCAAGTCTCAACGAAAAAAATCAAAGAATACAATATGTTTTATGAACTTTGAAAATGTAATGCAAAAGCTATTCCCTTTTTCAAGTTGTGAATGGTTTCATGTATGTGAGTATTTTATAGATGTAGGAGAATACCTCCAAGAATTTTAAGTGTCAAAAGACACCTTTTAGGATGTACACCGAACGAAAACGGATACATCTAAAGGCCAAAAGACACCTTATAATCACCAAGGGTTGCAACCTTTTGGTGTACGCAGTCAGCTGCGCGCCCGTGCGCCGATGGCTCGTACGAGCTCATACGGACTCGGAATCGGGTTCTGTTTCTTCCTATTCATCCCCAACGAAACCGTTCTAGATTTATAGTATGCAAACTGCATGATTAGGTCTTGTTTGGATTATTCTAACATTCGTTAAAGACAAAATTTTATGAATTCAATAATTTGAGTTACTTAAACTCATTGTTTCAATCTTACATTTTCCACATATACAACTTAGAATTAATTTCTCATTCACTTTAAAATTTCGAGAAAATTTTCTAAGTCATCCACTTACAAAAAATGAAACCGTAAAATCGGTACAAAATCAATTTTTCTTATATTAACTACCCTAATAATTATTATGAAAAATGTGGTTTTTTACTTTCAAAACATGAACCTTTCTTTCTTTTTTTTTTTTTTGGNACATGAACCTTTGAGTAAAAGTAATGAGCCTCAAATGTAAAAATTCAGGCGAAATACTCGGAGGACTTGATCCAATTTATAATTACCTTTAATAAGTCAAATTTCCACATCACACAACAATTTAGGTGAATATTCTACACGCTTGTAATCTTGCGACTTGCGGAAACTTGACGCGGCTTTGGTTGGTACATAGTCATTGACTAAGTTCCTTTTCCGCCACACGAAAGTAAAATTTTATTCATTTCTTGAAACTGCTCAAGTTCTTCATCTTCTTCGGTTTTGACCACATCTATGCATATATACAGAAATTAAAATATAAAAACGTACGTTATAATTTTCCGCTATAATTATTTATTAAATAAAAATAAATTTATATCCATTATATTTTATAATTTTTATTTATTTCTACATTTTGGACTTTTGTTTACATTTGTTATCTATTTGATATTCATATATCTTACTACTTTTTTTTGTTTTTTCTTATTAAATATACATATCATTTTTCTTTTAAAAAATTACTACCTTTGTTATTTTTCTTTATTTTTCATGTATAATATATTAAATTAATTATTTTCTTATAATTTTGATTTACTGTACATATTGCTTATTTGCATAAATATATATATATATATATAATAAATAAGTACATAAAGATTTCAACCTATAGGATTAAACTTAGGTTTCTTTTTTTCTCAAACGGCATAAAAAATAATTGAGACTACATGAAAATGTTGGGTAAGACAATAAACGCAGCGAACAAAAATATCTCTACAACAAATATGACAAACACTATTTTAAACAAAAATAAGCCAACACAAATAAATAAAATACGAGAAATAAAAAGAACACAAAAATTGATAACGAAGTTCGGCAAATATTGCCAACGTTTCTGGACACTGACAACCACAACGTCAAATTTACTGAACTCACCACAAAATACAAATAGGGTTAAATAACCCACAAATTAAGATTTCTTTCGAAGAGATGAGAGAATAGAATAAGGTTCAATTGTAACCCAAAGGCAAAGGACTTATTTATACTTAAAAATCCTACACAGAATAAGGTTCAATTGTAACCCAACGGCAAATGACTTATTTATAATAAAAAGATCCTACACATCTTTGGTACATATCCGATGTAGGACAACAATTAATCAAAATCTAACAGAAAATATAGAAATTATTACATTTTACATTATTCTATGCTATATTTTTTAATATATATTTAATAATTTATTCTATAAGGTACCTTTACGGCATTTTTTTTTTTGGTTAATTTGTTTTACAGTTAAATCTCAATTTAATTTATACTTAAAAAATAATTATTTTTTTATTTTATATACAAATTTTTGTAGTCGAATGATAAATGTTTAAAGGAAGAATAATTTAATATATTACTTATAAAAAGTTCGATTGAAAATAAAGTTTTTATGAATTTTTTATTAAATAAAAAGTTGTGAATGTTTAATCAAAAAATAAAAAAAAAGAAAAAAAATAATGTAGATAAAATACATAATAAGATTTTTTTTAATTTTAGTTTAAGAACTGGTAAAATAACTAGAAATATAACATATTTTTATTATGACATATATAGATAAACAACCAAGTTAGAATATAAAATGTGAGACATAATTTTGTTTTCTTGGAACCGAGAGAGAGAAGATTAATTAAAAGAAAAAACAAGCAAAAAGTGCAAAAGAAAACTTCAACGAACCCGCAAAAAGCACGAGGTCAAAATAAAATAATGCAGAAATATAGGGACGTCGCACAAATTCCTTTAGCCCTAAATTACCCAAAGGAAAGGGATTAGGAAAGACCGCAAGGCAGTAGCGACCGCTATATATACCAAACAATACCTCCGCCCAAAAAATACCCAATTGTCATTAACCATTCCCTCTCTCAACTAGCTA